GCCCTTAACAAGCTACCTATACACAGACATTTGTTAACTTTTGACACATTCCCCTAGAATAGGTAATTCAAAGCTACATAAATTCTTGCACACCTTAAACATGAGAAACTAAGTTGTGTTTTTGCAGCAGAGAAATAATTTTCTGTACTTAAAGACAGCTGTGTAGTCATATAACAGGGAGAAATGCTAAGTAGGTAAGCGGACAGTAGAAAGCCTCACTGTTCCAAAATAAGGTGGAAACTTGAGAAAAACAGGATGAACAGTGTGGGAACAGTAAGACAAAGCTCACAAGTTCTCAAAACATAAAAAAGGAGGAAGAAGTGAAAATGGAGAAATTAAAAGGGTTGAAAAAAGGAAAATTGTATAGATATGGTATAGCGGAGCATCAAGTAGCTTGTGAACCTGTAGTACTCAGCCAATGAGGAAACAGGAGAGGTGATCACGTGTCAGGTATTACGGAATAAAAGGTAATGATTTGTTTACTAAAATGAGCTCCTAATTGGCATGCCATTGCAATCACAAATAAAATAACTTCACAGAAGATCCTGTCTGAAGAAAACTTGAGATTTTTCTCCCATTGCAGTACACAGTGCTACTGCTTCAGCTAACCCCAAGAACTGCACCTTGAGCTCATAAATGCATCTTGCTGCAAAGAAAAAGATCTACATTCAGATGATATTACAGTCTTTTTGAATGTTCAGTGAGAAAAACCTGCATCACAAAATAAACAAGCGAAACCTATTCTAAGACACTGTCTTATAAGACAAAAGTCAAGATGCCATTGACCTAGTTAAATAGGAATGAAGAGTCCATACTTAGCCTTCCAAAAACCTTTCTTTCAAGAGCCCTGGTTAAAATACATTTCCACCCAGAGACTGTCCTGATTTAATATGTACAGTATATTCAAGACAAGTGTTGTATTTAAAGACAAAATTACTACTTAGAAAGTTACCATGGACAAAGACCATGAGGAACAGGATAGATCACTTGCCGCAACTCAGATTCTTTTCCTCTACTGGAAATGCTTTTTGAGTACCTCATCTATACCATAGCATCACAGCTCTTTAACCAGGGGTTCAAAAACTAGGCTCTACACTACCACCATATTCATACCACCTCAAAATTTATATTGAATATGATGTAACATGCTACTTTAACCAGGCTTTAAAAGAATCATCAACTTTACCTGAAACATATTTTCATCTCTGTTACTGCTTTGCTTAGAAGAAGCGGCACCTTTTGAACTTTCACCCGTCTTTTGTTTCTTTACAGCCTTTTCTGGAGCTGCTTGCTTTTTCCGCTTTGCCTTGGAGCAAGAATAAAATAGAAATGCATGAACCACACCTTGCAACATCTAGTTACAAAGAAAAGCTTCCATTAGAGGCTACAAACTACTACTACACACTGTATCACCTTCCTTTTGTGATGGCAGACCTCCAATACCACACAATTTAGACTGGAATTTCAAAAAAATCTCCAAATGAGTTTAATTCTGTTCCCAGTGAAGTCTATAATAATACTCTGGCTTTAAGGAGAGTTAGTCAAAATACATTTCAAAAAGCCTACTCTTTTTGCGCAGCAGTATTATCAGTTCAATAGTTTTAATCGAAAAAATAAAGTCTGATGGAAGTTTCACATTCCCTTCTTCTGAAATGAACAAAAAATGCAGGACAGCTACCAACTTCTAAAAAAAAATGAAAAATTAAAAATGAGATAATGAAGAAAGGATCTGGAAGTCACCTCCACCTGGGGAACATTTTTTTCTTCATTACCAGTGTCCCATCTCTGTCTATATATCACAATAAATGGTTTTAAAACATTCAGATGGTATTACCTGTAAATTAGATTACTTGCAGGTGCTACAAAGTTACTCTGTCAATATTTATATGGTAAGCACACTCTCCCAGCCCACCTCCCTCCCACCAAGAAAACAGTGATACAGAAATACCAGAAGTTGGTCTCACCTGCTAGAACCATATTGTGGGTAACCTTTTTCAAAGAGAAATGGTTGCAACAAATATGGGAGGTTGTCAGAGAAAAAAAAAAGACTTATACCCACTGAAGCAAACAGTTTGAGTATGGCTTTTCAGGAATACATTTCCCTACCAAAAAGCCATCACCTGACCATTTTATCTGATACTATTCTTTGACAGAATACCTAATTTGCTTATTGCAACTAAGTCACATTTGAATCAATTCATTAAAGCAAACTTGTTTTTTTTCCACATACAACATTAAAAGACCTGATGCATCATTACCACCTAAGTGTTTCTAAAAAAGGTAATTCCCTGTTGTACTCAGTTTTTGATCATAATGACCGGTACACCAACAAAAACTTACAAATGAAATAAAAATAACTGGGAACATTTGATTTATGCATTTAAAAGCAGTTAACATGTAAAAATTAATCAGCTCAAAGACACTCAGGTTGGCCCAGCTTTTAAGTAAGAAACTAGCAGATAGTAAAAGAAAATCTGAAACAGAAAAAGAACATGTAAACAAGATAAGCAAGTGGTAGTGGGACAACCAGGCAGGTGGAGGTTTTCACCTTGGACTTGCAAGGTATCCAGACAACAGAATGAAAGAGGAGGGGGGTTGTCTCTCAAAAGTAGTCCAAATTCTTGCCACAAGGGGCTGCTTATACCAAAACCTATCTCTTGCCACAAAACAGGAGTTACAGAAAGCTTGTGTCCGGATATACCATATGGAAAATATTGTATAAAGCAAAATGCAACTTAAGAAAAAAGTTTACCACAAGGCAAAAACCTCTTAACTACCCAAACCCTAGCCCTGCTTTTTTTTCCTCAAGTGTCTAACAAATCATATGGAATGACATGCACTTTGCCACGTATAAGTTATTACAGTAGTAATGAACTGAATATAATTTTCACCTTTTTGTCAACTTCACTATCTGAATCACTGGCAGATGAGCTTGAAGACACAAGTTCCTTTGACTTAGGCATTCTACAAAGAGAAAGATAACATGAGAACACTGTACAACAAATACATCCCATTGTATCTGGAAAGCAACCTTCAAACCTGTTTGTAAAGCCTCACCTTATTCAAAACCCTCCTAATTTTTCCTGCCTTTTCATATAAGCTTTAATAAACTCTTGATGCAATCACAAACACCATTCCCTATTCCCCTTTTTGCTGCAATGGCCTTAAACGCAGTGTCGTAGTTTCCAAACTGTTTAGAAAGGGGCAATTTTTCAAAAATACTGCACACTACTATCCTTATAGCTTGAATTCTCAATACTACATTCATCAACTATTAAGGACAGAGCATTATCTATATTCTTATACAGGCATTTCGCCTAGCTGAATATGCCAGTAAGAGCTGTATAATGACCATACGTTAAGGTAAGACTCCCATCAGTCATAGGGAAGTCTGAAAACACACCTTAGTTACAATGAATTACAGTACTGCAATTAATATTTCAACTGCAACTTTAACACATCAGTCATTATGGTCTATTCATTTGCCAGACAAGCGGACATTCAATTTTCCTTGAATGCATGCTGCCAGGTGTGTTTCTACATCTCTTTACTATGCAAACATGTGGTTAGATATGGCAGCTGAAGATCTTGCCTGCTACTAGAAACTCTTTGTGACAAACAAATAGCTCTTTCAGAATAAAAATAACCATCACAGAGAAATTGAATATAAAACTCAAACTATGGAAGACTAAAAAAAAAGTAGAGAAGCAAATCTCAGTAAAGGAAAAGGGGTGTTTTTAAATAAACTTGTGGTCAAATAAACCACGTACACAGGTAAAAATGGAGTCTGAATAATGCTAATGGCTCCATGCGGTTCTAAAGTGGGGCAAGTTCTGTCGTAATAGCTTGGAGCACAATGATGGAAGCTGTAATGCTGGAAATGAAACACCGTACGTGGGAGCTAACAAACCACGCTACAGGATGGAGGCAGAGGAGAGCTGGAATGGGACAAGGCAAAGCCAAGCACAGCAATGGCATAAAATGGAGGGGCCGAATGAGACTGATAATCCAGGGTCAGGGGCCACAGACAGAGGTTGCAATCCGCATTAGGATGAGAGGGCGACAACATGGAGGAAGGCTGGGGGTGGAAATTGGAGGAAAGAGCGATGGAGGGGGAGGGGTGGTACCCCCTGTGGAGAGGCTGGCAAGCAGAGGGCGAGGCGACCCCGCAGCAGCGGGTTGAAGGAGGGCGTAATGAGACAGGCCACGGGAGGGCTGAGGGCAGGGAGAAGAAGAAAGCGGGGCCGGGATGAGCTGGGAGCACCGGTAGGCGGCTCCCAGCCGCCATTTTCCTCCCCTCAGCCTCTCCTCACCCCCCGGGGGCAGGGGGCGAAGGCTTGAGGAAAAAGAGGGGGGCGGGGGGCAGAGGCATGGCCAGCCCCCGCCCTGTGAGGGGAGGGCAGGGCGGCAAAAGGAGGCTGCGGCGAAAAAAAGCAAAAACAGCCCCAAAAACATAAACACACAAAAAGGGTCGGGGGTCGTCCGTGGGCAGACAGCGGGGGGCGAAGGGGGGGGGGGGGGGTAACAGAGCCGGGCGGTTCCCTGCCGCCATTTTCTCCCTCCCTTGTTGCCCCCCCAACATGGCAGCTTCTCCTCAGCGCCAGCTCCTCCTCCCGCCCCCGGCCCGCTCCCCGCCGGGGCAGCCCTCCCGCGGGGCGCAGCGGGCACTCGAGGAAAGGAGGAGGAGGAGGAGGCGGAGGAGGAGGAGAAGGGGGGGGGGGGGGGAAGCGCCGCCGCATGGCCGCCCCGGGGGCGCCGAACCCCGTCAGTGTGGTACTGGGGTGGGGGGGGGTCACAAAATGGCGGCGGGGCGCTGAGGGGGGGACCCCAAGACTCACGTCCTGCTCCGCGCGGGGCTCGGCTGCGCCGCCAGAGGAACGGAAGTGACGCAGCGCGGGATCCCCGCCCTTGCCCTCTCACCACGTGAAGGGGCGGGAGGGGGGAGGGGAGGGGGCGCTTAAAGGGGACGCGGCGCTGCGTTACTGCCCCCCCCCCCCCCCCCCCCCCTTGGTGTGAGGGGGGGGGAGGGAAGATGGCGGCTGCTGAGGGGCAATGGCGGGAAGGGGGGAGGGGGGGTGGAAATGGCCGCCTGCAGTGGCCGTTCCTCGAGCTCGCTGAGGCGACGGGAGGAAACGCGATGAAAGGGCGCCGCCGCCGCTCCTGCTTTGCATGCCGAAACCGCAGCGCCGGCCGTCACCTGAGGCGCTGTCCAGGAAAGCGCCGCTTCCCCTTTTTTCCCCTCCCTCTTCGTTTTCCTCCCTGCAGGTGTGTGGCGGAGGGTGGGGGCTGAGCCTCCTTGCCCCCCTCTCGGCGGCAAGCTCAGGGCTTCCCTCCTGGGGCCGCAGGTTCTCGGTGTCTGTGGTAAAAATCCGCTTTTGGAAAGCCCCCCCGTCTCTGTGGGGTGGGACACGACACCACAAAGCAAGCCAACCAACCCAAAAATCTGACCAAAAAGACCTTGAAAATATAATCTGGCATCCCCTGGTGGGTGTTCACGCCAAAGCACGCTGCATCTGAAGCGCCCTGCTGGTGCTCTCCTGTGTCAGTGCCTGAGAAAGAGCAGTAGGCTTAATTCACCTGAACACGTGTGTGAGTAGGTGCTGGGATAAGCCAAAATGATGCCTCGTTTTGGGGGGCTGTGCCCTTTTCCCCCGTCTTTGTTGGTGGAGAAGACTTCTTGCAGTGCAGCAGCCAGGTATGCTGTTGGAGCAGGAGCGGTTTCTCACAGTGTCTTTCTGTATTCCCTACGCTCTGTTTCAGTTTCTGGCCTTCCTTTGCGAATAAACTTGAGAGCAGCATGGGTTTGGACAGCATCTGTGAACACTTCAAAACATTTTGAGAAACAAGATGAGAAAGCTGCAGGCAGACCTCATCGCTCCCTACAACTACCTGGAAGGAGGTTGTGGTGAGGAGGGCGTTGGTTGCTTTTTCTCAGGTGACAAGTGATAGGACGCAAGAAAATGGCCTCAAGTTGCACCAGGGGGGGTTTAAATTGGAGATCAGGAAAAAAAAATGGAAAGTTTTACATTGGAACAGGCTGATGAGGGGAGTGGTAAAGTCTTCATCCCTGGAGATATTAAGAGTTGTGTCAGTGTGGCACTAATAGGCATGGTCATTATTTAATGGTGGGCTTGGTAGTGTTAGGTGATAGTTGGACTTGGTGATCCTTACAACCTGAATGACTCCAGGATTCTAGGAGTCCATGATGAGATTTATTACTGTTAAAATATTATTGCAATCAATGCAATTTCACGCGAAACTACCACAGCCTGTCATAGTTTGCTGATCCCTGTTAGCACCAGTTGGTCATGTAGTACTGTAAGCATGGCAGGATGACAGTACTTCAGATACTCACTGTCAGTTTACTTTAGTCCCTTTATCGTTATCTCTCAACCTGTGCTTTTGCTACCATGACAATGTGAGCTTTTCCAAAAAAAAAAAAAAAAAGAGTGTAAACAATCAGAAATGGGAAGCGTGCTCTAGTCCCAGCCCTAGCTTCCAAGTAAGGCTGTTATGAATAAAGATGGCACAGGGTGCTATGTAATTTGCCCCTGCTGTTCCAAGAGCAGACGTCTCTTAATAAAGTTTTTAAAATCAAAAGTTTTAGTTAGGCTTTCTGGATTCCAAAGATCCCTGTTCATGAGACAGGGCCAGAAGGATAAATAAATTTCAAATGAGGATAATACCAAAAGTCAGCAATCCTAGACAGTGTTTCTGAAATACTTATTTAAAGGGAGGTTGAGAGATGAGGTTTCTAGAAGGAATCCATGAGGTTTTCATAGTTTTCACTATGAAGTGAGGTAAATAGGCGTTCAGTAGAGCCGTTTTGACTTTAGTAAGAGAAAAACAGGAAGTTAATACCAAAAATTAGAGGTGTGCTATTTTAACTAATTCTTGGAAATTCCCCGTTTCATAATGCTGTTACATGTCTTGCAAAACAAATAGAAAAATACACAGTTCTTACTACAAGCCTGACCTTTGGAAAATAAAATGATGTTTGTTTACCTAGAAGTAAAGTACAGTAAATCGCATGCATGTAAATATTAGTAATTATCACCACTGATCAAATATCAAGATTGTCAACCCATTTATTCATGGAAGATGAAAAAACGATCTCTCAGTACTTAATGCTTAACAGCAAGACTAAAGGCATTCCACACGAGATCGTCTCCATATAGAGAACATTAATGCAAAAAAATATTCTCAGACCATGACATAGCTATTGGCTTCAAGGCTTTTACTAACTTTCATATTAGAATAGTGATGCCAGTTCAGATCTTTGTAATCCCTATCTGCTTTGCTTTCTTATAGGTCAACACCTGGTATACAAAGAATGCAAAGGTTTTAGGAGCATCACATTCAGATCAGCAGTGCTTTATGCATTTTTAAGTGAGTCCCTCAGCCTTGAAATAAAACAAAATGACTGAAAAAAAAAAAGAGATTTTTCTGCTGGATCTTAATGAGTTAACCTCTTCCACCTGCAACATTTCCTCCAAAGCAAGCACCAAGTTTATTTTTATAGCTGAATTCCCAAATAACAGGTGAGTGAGGGGAAGGGAGTGTTTGCTGCATCTGAGGTTTTCATGTTATGTTCTTCTGTAATGATGGGTTTCTTTGAGAATTATTCTAGTAGTTAAGTTTAGTGGCTCTTTGAGCTTTTTGGTAAATTACCCTTACTGTATTTTGTTCTATTTAAAAAGATGAAAGAAGATACTAAGAAAAGATGCTGGCTTTTAAAATGTGGGGAAGGAGCCTTAATCTTTGCAAGGTAAATTTGTTCTGTTACCTTCTGAGTGAGTCATCTATCTACCAAAGGGGTATAGTTCACCTTCTAAGCTCTTGAAATAGTTTTTTGTAATGGATTTGTTCTCTCATCAGACACTTTCCTTCAGTAGCTGCCTTAAAAGGGCTTAAATTCTTCTAGTTACGGCCTGACTGCCTCATTTCATCTTACACATCTTCAGCTGAGAAAAGTGTTGAAGCATTAGCTTTTTCTCCAAAGAGGAATTATAGCATGGAGATTTGAACAGGAATGCTGAAAACTGCAAGCTCATACTTATGATCATGGAGCAATTATTAACCACAATAGTTGACTCTGCTACTTACAAATAGTAGAGTTGGTATGTGTGGTGCAATTGCCTAAACTAGGAAAATAAAACTAACATTCACATTTCAAAGAAAATGTACAGCATTGAAGAGGCTTTCAGGGTAGGGTGTAGTTCTATTACCTAAGCGTTCCTTAGGCTTCCAACCTCAGATGCTGTCGTGCTGGGGAAATCTGGTGTGCTAGCTCTAAGGAACAGTACGGAGCGTAGAGTGGAGTGGAGACACCATGGCTAGGCTCTGTGACCAGGTGGAGACTCAATTGTTCTTGTGCACACTGAGACTGGTAAGCTGCACTTTTTGCTACCCTGAGCCAACGACCTGTCATGTTTTGACAAATGCTGTAACCTAGTGTACTTTTCACAGAATCATAGAATCACAGAATCGTCTAGGTTAGAAGAGACCTCCAAGATCACTGAGTCCAACCTCTGACCTAACACTAACCAGTCCTCCACTAAACCATATCCCTAAGCTGTACATCTAAACATCTTTTACAGACTTCCAGGGATGGTGACTCAACCACTTCCCTGGGCAGCCCATTCCAATGCCTAACAACCCTTTCCGTAAAGAAGTTCTTCCTAATATCCAACCTAAACCTCCCCTGGCACAACTTTATCCCATTCCTCCCCATCCTGTCACCAGGCATGTGGGAGAATAGACCAATCCCCGTCTTGCTACAGCCTCCTTTAATGCACCTGTAGAGAGCGATAAGGTCGCCCCTGAGCCTCCTTTCCTCCAGGATGAACAAGCCCAGCTCCCTCAGCCGCTCCTCATAAGACTTGTTCTCCAGGCCCCTCACCAGCTTGGTCACACTTCTCTGGGCTCTCTCGAGCACCTCCATGTCCTTCTTGTAGCGACGGGCCCAAAACTGAACACAGTACTCGAGGTGCGGCCTCACCAGAGCCGAGTACAGGGGGACAATCACTTCCCTAGCCCTGCTGGCCACACTGCTTCTTGTACAAGCCAGGCTGCGGTTGGCCTTCTTGGCCACCTGAGCACCCTGCTGGCTCATATTCAGCTGACTATCAACCATCACTCCCAGGTCCTTCTCTGCCTGGCAGCTCTCCAACCACTCCTCTCCCAGCCTGTAGCTCTGCTTGGGGTTGCTGTGCCCCAGGTGGAGGACCCGGCACTTGGCCTTGTTGAACTTCATACAGCTGGCCTCAGCCCATGGGTCCAGCCTATCCAGATCCTCCTGCAGAGCCTTCCTACCCTCGAGCAGATCGACACACGCACCTAACTTGGTGTCATCTGCAAACTTACTGAGGGTGCACTCAATCCCTTCATCCACATCAATAAAGATATTAAAGAGGACTGGCCCCAGTACTGAGCCCTGGGGAACACCACTAGTGACTGGCCTCCACCTGGGTTTGACTCCGTTTACCACGACTCTTTGGGCCTGGCTACTCAGCTGGTTTCCAACCCAATGAAGCGTGCGCCAGTCCAAGCCATGAGCAACCAGTTTCTTGAGGAGAATGTTGTGGGAAACAGTGTCAAAGGCCTTACTGAAGTCAAGGCAGACCACATCTACAGCCTTTCCCTCATCCACCAAGCACGTCACTTTGTCATAGGAGGTCAGGTTCGTCAAGCAGGACCTGCCTTCCATAAACCCATGCTGACTGGGCCTGATAACCTGCTTGCCCTGGAAGTGCCGCTTGATGACACTCAATCTGCTCCATGAGCTTCCCTGGCACTGAGGTCAAACTGACAGGCCTGTTGTGCCCTGGGTCTACCCTCCGGCCCTTCTTGTAGCTGGGTGTCACGTTTGCTAGCTGCCAGTCGACTGGGACCTCCCCCGATAGCCAGGGCTGCTGATAAACGATTGTAAGTGGCTTGGCCAGCTCCTCCGCCAGTTTTCTCAGTACCCTTGGGTGGATCCCATCCGGCCCCATTGACTTGCCTATATCCAAGTGCTGTAGCAGGTTGCCAAACATTTCCTGGTGGATTATGAAGGCCACATTCTGCTCATTATAATATCATTATAATACCAAAACACACCTCCATCGCAAAAGCTACTTGCTTCCATGTGACCACCCCTCACTGAGCATGCGCTCTGTATTTCTCAGAGCCTATTACTTTAAATGGAGATGGAAGAACTTTTCACCAATCGTAATTAAGATATGCTTGACTAGAGTCACTCAACCTCCACCTAAAAAATAGAAAATAATGTAAATTGGCCTAAGAGAGAGGGTATGTGAGGGGAAGATACAACTGTCAGGGGAGATACCATCCCAAGAGAATACACCATCTGGAGGACTTCCTGACTCCTGGGATCAGTCGACGGGCTGAGTCTCTCTTCCCCCCTCCATTGGGATGCCTTTGGGTGAGATTTGAACATGTGGTTATACTGTGTGTCTCTTGTGGAAACTTAAAAATCTCTGTGGAGTCTTTTTGCCTTTTAATGCATTAATTTCCAGGCTGCGCACCTGTGTCACCTGTGTATTTCATGCATGCTAGCTTGCTTTTGCAGGCAGTCACTATTGCTGGCAATTCAAAGAACCCGTGTACCTGTTGCTGTAATAAATTGCACTTGAATGCGTTGTTCCTAGCCGTGATAGTTCTCATTAAATGCGACTAGAGTAAGGGTGGTTGTATGTTATTGGTGAATCCATGACTGTGGTAGTTCAGTGCTCTGAATCCGACTGGATCCCTAACAGTTCATGTGTTTTTGGTGAATCTGTGATTGTGATAGTTAGTACCTTGAATCCCACTGGACCCATAACCATTAATTGGCTACACCCCTTAATGCGACAGTATGAGACACATTTTGGGGAAGACAGAATGAGAGACAGCTCTTAAAATATTCAGTACTTAATAGTACAACAGGTGAGTGAAAAAATTGGAAGAGGAGTGGAAGGCTAGCTTCCACACAGACTTTTTTTTTTTTTTCTTTTAGCTTCAGGAAAGAAAAAGTGCATTGTTAGGCATTATTTTTCTTGTATACTGTAACTGGTTAATTTCCCCCATGTGTCTGATGTGTGATTTCAGTTTGCATTAACACTTACATATCTTCGTGTTATGGTTGAATGTTGGGACTTTTTTTTTTTCCTGTTGCAAGTAGGTATTATAAACATTGATAACTTTCACATATGATATAATAAATATTATTTATTTATTTTACTGACATATATGTTCTCATCACTGTTCAAGTTCTAAACCCTGTTGTTAAAATGTAATATTTTTTTACATTAATCACTTAAAGTCTTAGTGAAAACATCACTTTTTTGTCTTCTCTGCTTATAAAACATAATTTCACTTCAAAAGAATGTCAATACGGTGATAAACATCTGTATAGCTCTCTGAAATAATTTCCAGGTGAGAAGATAGTACTGGATTCCTTAAACTAATAGAAAAAAAAAATGCTCCTATTCAGGGCTTTTTCAAAGAGAGCACTAGATGTTAAATTACCTGTTCAGGAAATAAAAGTTGCAGTTTTTGTGAGCGTGTTCTGTACTTGCTGTGAGTAAAGCTTTAATCTGCTGCTACATCTGCCCTGCCCTCTGGTGGTCAAACAAGCCAGCTGAGAGCCTTCAGAGTAAGATTCAGAAATCTAGAGGTGTGTTTTGATTTGTTTTGTTTCTGTTTAAATTGCGGTCTTGGGGGCCTGTGGTAGTGGCAGGGACGTGCTTCTTTTAAAGTAGGATTGATGCCACTGCATGTTAAATTGTGGACTTTCTTCTTGCTGTATTTTGGTGATCTCCTTTCATATATATGAAATGAAGGTCAAAGATTTGTTTTTCTTAATGCTTGCTTGCCAGTTTTGTCTGGTATTTTTAGATGCACTGAGCTTTGGACAAATAGAGTAGCTGTACTGTTTAATCCCAGTTTGAAGTTTTGTCTCCATTGTAGATTTTCATTCTGGAAATTCTTGGCAGTTGTTCCATAACTTTAATAGGAACATAGATGGAGAATTGTTTTTTCCTATTTGGAAAAAAAATCTTTTGAATGTTTCACTAAAGCTTTTCTGCATTTCTCCCTCTGCCTCGTGATTTGCTGTTTATCACTCCATTTATTTTCCTCCCGGTCAAGGATATAGAAATAGGTAAAGTTCAAAATACCCTAAAGGACCTCATTAAATTTATTACTGCTTCATTTTGCAGTAAATCTGATATACATAAAACAAGATTGCATCTCTAAATGATAAACCATTGAGGTTTTCTTAAGTATAGACTATGAATCTGATCCTGCGAGCTAGCAGTAACATAAATAGATGTTATGTAATGGTTTACAAAGTCATCAAGAAGCATCAGGTTCTTATGAGGGAACTGCTCAGAGAAAGACTTCTACCACTCTTTTTTTTTTCCAAGAATATGGCAAGTCTTAAACTCTTTTTTTTTCATGCTTAATAAGTGTGGCTTCTCATAATGTGTTATATATCTTTTTCAAGTGATATATATACTAAAGATTCAATGTACAAAATTCAACTGGAAAAGTAATCTGAAACTTCTGCTGAAATTGCAGCTGAATCGAGCTGCCAAACAGGAGCTTATGCACAGACATATACAGTGCTGAAATCACAAGATGGAATATTTAGGTTAGACTCCTAGAAATCACTTGAATAAAAGAAACTATGAAACCTAAAATGCAAATGTATTATGAATAAAAAAGAGATTTATTTTTCTTCAGCTTTTGAAACCAAAGGTTTAACAGGGAGAAGATAGTCCACATTCATCAATCTAGAAGAAATAAGCAATTGCAAGCCTGACTATTTGCAAAATATAACTTTATTGGTACAATTTTAAAAGGTGTGTGAATATCTATGTGTGTATAGAGATGCATATATTTTTAATGAAATGTGTATTGTATACTTTATTTTTCAGTATATTGAGAGGTTTTAACTGAAAGAACTTGAAAGGCGGTGGAACAAATAAAACTTCAATTTCCTTTTTGTTGAAGTGCCATGATCCCATGGTCCAATTATGAACAATGTTTACTAAAACGAGGAGAGTATAGCTATCTCATTTATGTATCCTGAGTCCATTAAGGATATAGTGACAGAGGTCATGTCCTGTAAATTCTTCTATGAAGCATTTGTATAGAGCCTTCTCCTGAAGTACTCTGTTATTCAGTTGCAGGATTAGGACTTTTGTTTTTCTAAGCAACAGCAATAAAATGTCTTTACCCAATATCTGCTTTCTTCACAGAAAACCTTTTTTCTAAAAGTGCACAACAAAGGTTGGAAATTTATTCCTTTTCCCATGCAGGTTCATTTTCCTATTGTGCTTGATTAGGATAAGAAAGAACGAGAGGTACAGTGCTATGTACATTTCCTATGTGAAGCTAATAATAATGACCAATGAACTATGTTCAGTGAATTGGCAAGGATGCTTGGCTTCTTAAATGCCTGTGCTTCATATGTTGCTGTAATAATGTAAACTTAAGACGAGATTAATCCAGAAGTGCTGTTTTATGAGCCTTGGTTCGTTTATGAAAACTGCACGTCACAGTGCGAAGCACGCAAATGAGATGAAAGTATTTAAGGCTTCAAGTTTTGCTGTATTCAGAGTTTTGAGAAGCAGCCAATGCTCAGAGGGAAGCATTACTTAAAGGTGACATTGTCACTGCTGCTTTCCCAGAAAGCTGAATAGCTTGTTAGTAGCTTCTTTCACAAGTGTTTTCTCCTGTCCTGACAATAAAAGACCATCTACATATTTGTAACAATAATACCTCTTTTGGAGGTTGCAACTGCTCCAAAATCTGTTCTAGAACTTGCCCAAACAAATAGGTTGCCCTGTAAACCCCTGAGGTAAAACTGTCCGCCTGTAATGTTTGCTTCCACCCCCATTTCAGGGTCTTTCCAGCCAGAGGTGAATGTATCTTTGCTCTCAGGGCCTGAGAGCACTCCACTAATAACACTGTTATTCCAGTCTAACAATTTACTATTTGAATGCCCAATTTCATCGTCAAATCCCTTCCCAACAAGTTAGTCCCTGCCTTGGGTACATACGATAATTGCCCAGTGATCATTTTATCCCCTAGTCTCAGCTTGGTATCCCCCAAAAGTGGCACTGTTATCCCAGCCCCTTCTACCCCCATCACATTTAAGGTTTCATTAGTTAATTTAATCCCTGATATTTTACAAGCCAGTAATGACCTAACTGTAACAGGCATTGGGTTCAATGGGAAGGTTTGGGGGGGAAGGAGGGAGGCTGCAGTGGCAGCCCCTGTGAGAAAAATCCAGAAGCCTCCCCGTGGCAGATAAGGGACAATTTCATCCGGCCCCAAAGAGGCCCACTGCTGCTCAGAGCCAAGCCAAGAGCAACACAGTCCATGCCTCTGTGAGAACACATCCATGAAAACAACCAAACAAACATAAACCTGCTGCTCAACAGCAGCTGGGAGAGCGAGGAGTGAGAAACCTCCCCGCAGACACCAAGATCAGCACAGAAGTATGGGAAGGAGGTGCTCCAGATGCCGGAGATGAAGCACCCCTCTGGGGGGGCTACAGGGATAAGAAATGCTTATCACTGTAAGCATATCTTAATGCTACATTCCTTTCCTCTAAACAACGTAACTGCAAAAACAACATTTCTATTCCCACGCTAACAGGAACAGAACTGCACAGGTGCAGGTTCAGTCACCCAGAGCTAACTGCATGGCCTGCAGTATGCTGCCCAACAGTTTCTAGGAGCAATTTGGTGGACTGTTGCTGTGTGGAAACGTCTGATAAATGTGCCGTGTACATGTAAGTCTTTACCTTGCGTGCCAAATAAGCATAGGGAACTATGGGAATTTGTGGGCAAGCTGTGGTATGGTGGGGACAGGTCAGGCTAGGTGTGAACATGGCCTCAGTTGGGTGACAGATACTCTGCTTTTCTCTTGCGCAGTTGTGGTGGCGCACCACGGTGCACAGGTGAATTTGGAGCTCAGTCATGGTAAATGGAGCCAACTGTAGGTTTTGTGGCGAGCTCTGCGTGAACGCAACTGTTTGTGCTGTCTTCTGGCTGCGTGGCCTTGTGAGCGCGGTAGCTGGGTGCTTGGTGTGCGTGTCAGGGTTGGGGTGGGAAGGTGCTGGGGTGCCACAGCCGCCGGCACCCACACCTCTGGTAGGTGTGTGGGGACAGGAATGGCGTGGGGCACAGGTGGTGGGCACCCCTTGTGTTACTGGCTGCTGCGTGTGCTCCCTGCGTAGGCAGGAATGGGAAATCAGCCCTATACTTTGCCATATAAGCTCACGGGTACGCCCGTGGTGCGGCTATGGGGGCACACACAGAGTAATGGAGGGAGCGAGGCGGTACACGCACTGCTCCCTCACGCCTGGGCCTCACACAGAAGAACTACATCTCCCAGCAGCCCTTTGCACATCCCGCGCACGCGCACCCTGCGGGGGCCCGGCTCTCCGAGCTGCGGCGGCGCTCACGGCGCGGGCGGGCGGACTACAACTCCCAGCGCCCCCCGCGCGCGTCTTCTGGGTGCGCACGGCGCCGGCCCGGCCGCACTCCGCCGTTGTCGCCGTAGGTGGGTGGGAGGGAGGGAGGCAGCGAGCGCGGCGCTGAGGAGGAGGAGGCGGAGGTGGTGGAGGAGGAGGAGGAGGAGGAGGCGGCGGGAGGGGGGGGGGGTGAGAGTTGAGAGTTCAGACGCCGCCGCTGCCGCCGCCAGCTCGGACTCATGATTCCCATATGCCCGGTAGTTTCGTTCACCTATGGTGAGTAACGGCTCTGGGGGGGAGGGGGGGGTTATGGGGGCGGGGGGGGGCGTTATGGGGGCGGCCGTGAGGGGAGCGGGGAAGGGGTGAGGGGGAGGGGATGCAGTGGGGGGGGGGGGGGGGGAGGGGAGGGGGGAGGTTGTGAGGGGAAGGGATGAGGGGGAGGGGATGGGGGGGGGTGCTGAGGTGCCTCGGCTGACCGGGCTCGTTCTGTCCCCTGTCCGTCTGTCTGTCTGTCCCCTTCTTCCCCTCACCCCCTCCTCCTCCTCCTCCTCCACCTCTTCCCCCCCCACCCCCTCTCCACCCTCCCCTACTCCTGTCATGGCCCCGACCGCCGCCTCCTGTCGGTTACCGCCGCCGCCGCAGTGCCCGGCCGGCTGGGAGAAGATGCCAAAATGGCCACCGGCAACTACTTTGGGTTCACCCATAGCGGGGCTGCTGCTCAGTACAGGTAACCGCCGATGCGCTTCACTCTTTTCCCCGCCCCGCCCTCCTTCCCCTCCGCCCGGGCCCGCAGCCCCCTTCTCCCCCTGCTCCCTCCCTTCCCGGGCCCGCAGCCTCCCCCTCCTCCCCGCACCCCCCTTCCTGAGGGGAGCCTGGGGCTCGCTGCCCCCCCTTTTGGGGGCCTCCTCCGCACCCCGACCCCGTCCCCGTCCCCGTCCCCCCCCCCGGGTGGTGGTGCCAGGGACCCTTCTGCTCGCCTTGCCCCGCCCGAGGGTGTGTTTTGCTTATCCTGCTGCCACCCGCGTCCCCCGTGGTGTGAGGGTGGGGAGGTGGAGCTGGGCACCACGGAGGGAGGAGGAGGAGGAGGATCAGCGGCAGCATCAGGTCCCGAGGCCCTTAACGTTAAAATGGCCACTTGCAGTCAACAACACCAGCGAATTACCGCCTGCCGCCCCCGGGCCCATCTCCTTCAGCTGCAGGGAGGACGGGGTTTGCCCCCCCCCCCCCCTCCCGTGTCTTTGCCCCCACCTCTGTCAGCGTGGGAGGACAGAATCCTTTAAAATTACACCACCCCAGCTGGTGGGAGACTGGATGGATAGGGCAAGAGCTGAAGCTCGGGGAAATACAGGGGATTGTCTCGTTTCGCTGAAGCGATGTTGTAATTAATGCTTGCCTGAGAAAATAGGGAATGTACTTTCATGGCCAAGCAAGCACCTTTTTAAAAAGATTTCCTTACTTGGTTATCTAGGACCAGGGGAAAGTCTTGGAGTGGAGCTCAGGGACCTGAAACTGTACCTCTTTTATGTAATGCATGACGTACTCCCTTAAATCTTGGTATCTTTGTGCATCAAAGACTGTGTATCAGAGTTGAAAAACAAAAAAGTGATAATTGGTAGCATCTATTGTCTCTTTCTGAAATGAACGCTCTTAATTTGGCAACAACAGAAAGCAAATTATATAACCAGAAACATCTTTACATTTTTGATTTGTATTGGAGTAGTACCTTGAAGCCAACATTTGAATCCCCATTATTTGTTTAATACATCTCTAATAAAGATCTAAACACCTAAGTCTTAACTAATGGAAAAAATGTAGTAATAAAGCAAATATATCAGAGGTTATTAACAAACAAATGCAAATGTTAACAAGCTAATGTAATTACTGTTAAAAACCATTGTTAACAAGCAAATCAAACTTGCGTACCTGGTGTAGTTTCAGGAGAGTACGGTTTTATGGAGGTCTTGCAATGATGCTAAAGTCGGTGCATCTATTCTTTCCTGGAAATAGATATAAAATATGTTTGTTTTCATTTATCTTCAGTGTTAAAGGAAGGGATTAAAATTAGCACATCTACTAGTTCTTTTAAGATGAGGTGCTCATGGTGTATTTATGTGTTACTTGACAGTTATGGTGAAATTTGAAACTGGGTTCTCATGGGTTGTAGAACAGTTTTTAAATAGCATAGTGGATTTTTTTTTATTTTTATTTCTTTTTAAGAAATGATCTTAATGAATGATTCTTAATGAATAATAAACTATGAGGTCCATATGACTGCAGTTATGGAGATGAATTTTTAAAATTATTTTTCCTTTTGTTGTGAAGCTGAGGGGGTAGGTATATAGTCTTAAGAACCTGAACCGCTCAGTTGAACTTTCCTTTTGCATTACAATATTAGAGTGTGTAATTGGAATAAAGTTCAAGTTCAAAACTGTTTTCATAGTTAATCATAAATGCATTCTTGAGAAAATGGAAAAACTGATCAAAAGATGGTTTTTTCCCTTTCCTACCACAAGTATATCAGTAAGACTTTGTGTCCTATAAATGGTTTGAATGTGTACTGTGTCTGAAAGTGATGAGACACAGCAACCAGTATTAAAGCAGTCCTTTCTAAAGAGAGAAATAGAATACTTTGATCAAAAACCACAGAAATCACTTGGAGCAGCTGAAAGGGGGTCTTACATTCATAAAGCAGATTTGACAGGTCCTTAGTGGCTTATTTACTGAGTGCTACAAAATGTATATTCTACTCTAGTATGTTTTAGATAGAGATAGAGGCCATCAGGGAAAGATAATTGAAGATGTAATATTGCAAAATGCTCTTTCAGCTTGTTACCAGTATTCAAAGTATCACAATATATAAAAATACTAAAATTCCTGCCTCATCAGAAACCAGGATTGTAGAGAATACGGATGAATGTTTATCTGCTAGCTAACACACAGGTGGGTCTCATAAATCCACAGAAGACTTCTGGCCACAAAACTAGTCTGTGGATTTAAAAAAAGTTGATCAAAATAACAGGTAGTTTAGGAGGGAAAAACAGACACTTGCAACTGCAGATTTTTTTTTATTATTATTATTCTTTTTTGTTACAAGCCAGTTACAAGTTGTCCTAGGTCTGACCCTTCCCAGCTCGTGCTGCACCCCCAGCCTGCCCGTTGGCAGGACAGAGTGAGAAGCTGAAATGTCCTCGGTGTAAGCACTGCTCTGCAACAATTAAAACATAAGCATGTTATTAGCACTCTTCTCATACTACGCCAAAACATAGCATCCTACCAGCTACTAGGAGGAAAATTAACTCTGTTCTAACTGAAACCAGGACATAAGTTTTACTGCTCTGGGTTTTATAGAAAGTAACAGGAATGTTCATAATAAACATGATTAGTCACATTTTTGGTTTCTCTCTTGACAAAATGGCTGTCAAAAATTCTGGTGCATTGGGAGGACTTCAGGATACAACTTTAAAAGGAATATCAGTGCTTCTTTATGATGATTTGTAGAATCTTGTTCAGCACTTCAGCTAAGTGCAAAAAAGTCTTTTCAGTTCTTTGTAGAATATAGGCCTTGCTTGGAATATCTCAAAGTGCAAAACCGTTAAATTTTCAGTTGAAAACATGCAGATGGGAATAAAAAGAACTTTGCATCAGAAAGTAGAGGGTCTAAGTAGTTTCTGAGATACAATTTCAGAGGAGAAAATCTGACATACTTATTGATAGTTGAAAGGTGTTTGCAGCAGAGGTTTTCTGTACTTAATTGCAGGCTCATAGATGACCAGTATGAAGCCTGTTGGAATTCTTTTTTCTCAAAATGTTAAGTCTGATTCACATTAATGGTAGTGAAGACACAACATATTAAAAGCGCTGGGCTCAAGGAGGTGGCTTCTTAAAGTCAAGAAATGAAAAGATGATGAAGCTATTATTGACATAGAAATCACTGCATGTCTTCCTGTGATTCTGGGTTGTTTGTGGCCATGGTGGATCATTTAAATATTGTCTCATCCTTCGTGTGCTGAGTGAATGATCAATAGCTGCACACACGTTAGATCTTGGGTTTGGGAGATTCATGAGCAGAGTGTTCAGGAGTTGATAACATGTTTACTGTTGTGACATGTAAGCAGTATAGCTTCTGAATTGGCTAGATAAGAAAGGGAATAGATGTCTTTTTTATTTGTTCATAAATATTAGTTTTCATAAAGTACATCTGAAATCTTACCTCATTTCATACTTAATCAAAGGCAGCAAAAGAGCTAAGTGCCCTTTAAACCTATAAATAATGGATTAGAAGCATTCTTGTTCCTTTCAATGTTGTTACTGCATAAAATTTCCTGCTGCCCGCTTCATTTAGAATTCTTCTGTGAACTGCACAGTAATAATATCATGACTTAATGAGAGAAGAATCAGATTATGCAAATACCCATACAGGAAATTTCTCTGAATATTGGAATAGCTTTACAATTTGTACTTTCTGCTAATGGTGGTTTTAGGACCTAAAGTTATAAATCCGCGTGCAGTGCAAAACTCATCTGTTACTTTTTTCAGTATCTGTTCTAATCTATTTAGGAGTCTGAAATAAATGTGTAATTTGGTGATACCACTATTCTTTT